TTTTAATAAATATTCAGTCCGCAGTTTTTGTCATATAGTGGTATGAGTTCTTTTCTTTCGCGGAACTTCCATTAATTCAAGTGGTGTAAGAAAATCTTAAATCTTTTGTTAGTTGCCAGTGTATATGTCATATGAGAGAAGCTCTAAATAGATTTCAAAATCTTTTGTTATTTGAGCTTTGGAATTTAGGTGTGAAAATCTTTTGTTAGTTGCTAATGTATATATCATATGAGAGAAGCTCTAAATAGATTTCACAATTTTCCAAATTCGCAGAAATAATGTAGTGTGAAAATTAAACTTAGAATTTGGATATAAGAATTGGTTCATTGAATTTAGACGCAATATGATTATGTATTTTTTGGTCAGCTGCCAAATTATTAGTATTGTATTTTTGGTCACAGCCTTTAAAATTCTTCCTTGGATATAAGAGTTGAAGATTATACAAACACTTTTTCTATTAGCGAGGAAGATAGTAGACGGAAGAAACATAAGAAAAGCGAATGCAAAGACATTTTCTTACTTCACCTCAATTTTAGTTTGAATTTTCTCCAAGTATTAGTTCTAATACATTATAACAAACTTATTCATCTTAAACTCTTCAGAAAAAAAAATGAGAAAAATGAGAAAACTTTAGTTAAATTCTCTAAAATATGTTTGTTATGAAATATTTATAGGCTAATGAAAGGAAGGAATGGATCATGGTTTTTGGAATTGATATTAAAAAAATTTGCCACACTTAATCTATCCAACATTTAAAAAAAAAAAACCATAGAGATTATCTATAATATTTTTGTGTAAAATTTGATATAATTCGATTGGCTAATATAATTTTGCACGCTTTTTTATTTAAAAAAAAAATACTTTCTAAACAATGCCAACACTCAACAGTTTGGATTTGATTTGGTAATATCCAATAATGATTATTGGTTTTAATTAATTTTGTAGATCTTGCCACGCTTTTTTATAATTGCATCCGAATAATGTGTTCTTAATATTTTCTTCTCTTTATAAAATGATTATTATTTAAATAAGCTTAAACCATGTCATAATTTTTATAAAGATATGTCATCATTCTTTGAAGCTATCTCATAATTTTAGATCAATCAAATTAAAATATTTAAGAGACTAAATAATTGTACATGTCTTTTTTAACAGGAAGGGGATGTATATATCTTTAACCATACACAACTCCTCTTGTTGCTCCACGCCACCACCATTATTGTCTCTCTCTCTTCTTTACGTTTAGTTTATAAAGTGTTTTTAATTTCATCCGTTGGATATTACTCTTTTTTGGCTATATTTTAGAACGACTTTTTAAATAATCTTAGAACGTCTTTGTCCTTAATAATTCAATGCGGGACATGTGGTCTCAAAATATTTATTACTAGTCTAACGCCATCTTTTGTTTGATTTATTTGCTCGTGACTTTTGGCTTTATGCTTGGCATAGGCCCCGTTTCTTTGTATATTTTCTTTTGGAATCTTTTTAACGAGTCATATCATATTAATATGTCATTTACTACCAAAAAAAAAATCTTTAGTGAGATCAATATCATCATATCCA